TGAAAGCGTGTTTGTTATCGATGGGAAATTGGTCGTACTGCTTAGGGCCGCCATAGCACTCAGTTGTAAAGAACTCGATCTGAGGCTGCTTGGGAGTAAGACCCATAGGGTCGCGGCCTTCTTTTCGAGGAGCTGCATTCCAGATCTTAGAGTCGGTGAGACGCTCGTCCATGCGGGCGTAGGCGAAGATTCCGAATGGGAACACTGTTAGAGGACCCTTCTTCTCCTCCTTCCATTGGGTATAGGCCTTTTCTAAGGCGTTGCCGTGGTATACTAGAGAATCAGTGGTGAGCCCTTCTTTGTCGGTCTCGTAGAACATAAAGACAATCAAATGATCCTGGAGGTTCTTTCCAACGCCGGGAAGGTCGACAAGAGTGGTGATGCCGTGCTGCTCCAGCTCAACCTTTGCACCGATGCCTGATCGGTTGAGAACGTTGGGTGAACAATAAGCACCGGAAGATATTATAACCTCTTTAGAGGCCTTGAGCTCAACGACCGATCCATCGGCCTTGACTGCTCGAACACCGGTGGCCTTCAACTCTCCATGGCCATCCTTCTCAATGATAACCTTGTCAACATGGGTCTCGACCATGAGGTGCAGGTTATCCCTAGGTTTCTGCTTGGTGATGAAGTCTGCGCTGGTAGTACGAAGACCTTGATGAACCGTTCTAACAGAGTGGCCGCATCCGTGGGGGTTCTCGCCGGCAGAGAACATGTCGTGGTCAAGCGGGAGACCCTTTGATACCATAGATTCTCCAATCAAGTTGGAGATAGGGGCCAAGTCATGAGGCTCGGTGTGGACATGGCCTTCATAACCGTGGGCGCCCTTGGTCTCCTTGAACCAATCTTTTGTGTGGAAGTTCTCGGCCTGTCACAAGTCAGTATGTGCCTTCAAAGAACCGCATCAATGGGAGCGTTAAGATATCGCCCTGTAACGTATTGAGACTATAGGTTGAGTACAAACCTTGAGCATATACTTGAACATCTCATCACCACTCCAGCCGGGAAGGTTCCAGTCATCATAATCTTGTTTCTATACAGGGTTAGAATCCAATACCAATTACTCACGAGAAACATTGAAACTCACCATTCCCTTAACCATAAGAGTGCCATTGCAACCAGAAGAGCCACCGAGGAACTTGCCTCGGCTAAGCTTCACAGAACGGTTGTTGACACCAGGGCCAGGTATAGAGACGATATTCCAGTCTGTCTCCTTGTCAAAGTTATTCGACCAACTAAAATAATGCGTTAGCTAAAATTTTCAAATAGCTACAGACGTAGGGGTGGTTACCCTCCAACCATGTGAACGTTCTCAAGATGCTCATTATGGGGACCAGCCTCTAGAACAAGAACCTTGACATTAGGATCCTCAGCGAGGCGTGCTGCCACAACACAGCCTGACGTGCCACCACTATAAATGAGGTTAGTGAACCAATAATAGTCTTAGTCTTGAACCTTATGAGTGCGGAACTTACCCGCAGATGATGAAGTCGTAAGTAGAGTCTGGAGCAGCAGCCATGTTTGTTTGTTTACAGAAGAAACAATCTGTCAATAGATATAAGAGAAAAGTATCAGTCAAGAAATCGACTTCATGCCAGTAGCGCCTCTGTTACTTATATACATAGTATTACCCGAGGTCCACTATCATGAAGGCTGTCTATCGAGCCATTCAGGACCGGAAATTCGGAAACCTTGTCACTCAAACAACAGGAGGATTCCGGTTATGTAGCAGCTAAGCATTAGGTCCATCATACCATTCCTAATAAAGGCAGTTGAGAGGTTGAGGTGTTGCTGTTCTGATGTGCTGTGCTTTCAGATCCTGGTTTTTGACAAGGACCCTGAATAGTCTCAGTTGAACCAACAGCATGAAATGGCCGCACCTTATGCACCAAATTGTGGGTTCATACTCAAAGAGATAGAGAGAGGTTCTCTGAGAGGCATTTACCCCGCTGTCTGATATGTCGACGCAAGCTGGAGCCCTTAACTCTCCTGGAGCATCCAATCGGGGATGTCTCCGCGCTATTCAAAGATTGCCGTACGGATCCGACGTTGCAGTGCAAGGACTTTGCATCAGAGAAGGAGAAACGAGAAACGCCGGATCTAAGTCTCCTCGTCCCCTTATTCCAACGCGTTCCGCGGATGATGCTAGGAGCTGGGCCAGTGTATATCAGTACATGTATGGATCTAGCAGGGTACAACCATGTAGCTGCAAGAGAGCAGGCAACAAGAAGTATCATATTGCTGAAGATGATGTCTCATCTTGGGCCAAGGACCTAGAAGCCCTGACAACGTTTAGCTTGGGCGGGGCGGAACTAGTTCCACTCCCGCTGCAGATCACCACGGCTAAAGGACATCAGTGGAGAGGATTGTCCGCTAGCGATGCTGAAATTGCTGTTGAGTCTGTTCTAGCGGGGTAGAGCTAGGGGCTTGGCAGCAACGTTGTAAAGTTTTGCCTCTAACAAGTGCCTGGATTCTGGTAGCCAACGACGTTAGTACTGGCTTTTACCGAAAGGTAGGTCGAGTGATTAGCCTTATAGACACTAGAAACTCACCGTTGACCGTTCTAATTTATCCCCACAGATACACTATGATCATCTTGGTCAAGGGTCTCGAGTTATGACCAGGTCTGCCTTGTCTTGAGAATATTACTGACCAACCAACAACAAAGGCCGGGGTTCTATGAGACTGTGGACCTGCATATGCATCAACCATGTTCTTTTCTGTAGCAGAAGAAAAGAAAAGAAGAACTCGCAAGTTCTTCTTCAATAGAAGGCCTTGAACGGCTTGGTGGACCCGAACTGACTCGTATGTGACTGTGCCGTAGAGATCAACATGACCTCAGGGATATACTGGATGACTGTACGAGTCGAAGAATATGAATGCTCATCGATATATCCCAAGTCATGCATCAGGGTTGCCAAGTCTCCCCGGTCCACTATACCCAGTATCCTTACAAGGTAGCACTCCTCCTACGACACCGTCAATTCTTAAGTGAGCCACGAGATGGTCAATGCCTCTTACACTCGGCCAAAAGGGGGCGTCAGATCCTGCATCTGCATCTGCTAGTTCATGTCAACTTTATAAGTCACATATCATACCTACATATGCCTGCTAGGCCTGCTATCTCCATCCCCATCTCTATTCCCCGAAGCTGTCACTCCTGGCCTGCATCTGTTGTCTCAATTATACTAGGCAACTCTTGCAAGCTGAAGCCTTCTACTATCAACAAAAATGGCAACACCTTTTCAGACTGAGGCCTGGACGGAATATGGTCTTGGCACACTTGTCTTGTTTCTGCGATATTTTGCAAGATGGAAAACAGTTGGCTTCAAGGGATATCAAGGTGATGATTACTTTGCTCTTGTAGCCCTTGTCTTCTGGACTGTATGTCACTCCAGACTCTTTATCAAGTCATCCTTGCTAACAGATATAGTGCGAGTTGGTCATGTTAGAACTCATCGGTAGAAAAACCCACAAACTTTGTTGGTTCAACTCGAAGGATTGCTAACCCTACAATAGGTCAGTCCGGCACCAACATTGGCGTTACCGACGAGATGGGCGCCAAGATGTCAGCTACAGAGATAGCCAAGCGCGAGTTTGGATCAAAGTGCCTCCTTGCAGGATGGAACTTTTACGTGACTTTAATCTTTACTCTCAAGGGAGTGATGCTTTGTTTATACAGCCGCATGACGTACGCAGAACCTCGACCTACCGTTGATATATGCTAATGGAGTTCTAGACTTGGTCTCTGGCAGAGAAAGCTTGTTATCTGGACACAGGTCGGAACGATAGTCGCATATTTAGGCGTGATGGCGGCCATTTGGGGGCATTGCACGCCTGTTCACAAGAACTGGCAGGTTTATCCTAATCCTGGTGGTGAGTGTTGTCCCGAGAGAACCGATCGCCGACTCTAACTTGGAGTAGAAGCCTGTACGCTCGCCGTAGCGAACTATCTCACCCTGGTAGTATTTAATATTGTGTATGTTACCGTTGTCTAGGCATTCGAACTATGAACTTTGATCTAACTCGCAAACCCAGAACCGATATCGCTATTGTTTCCATCCCAGTCCCCCTACTATGGACTGTGAAGCTCACCATCAAGAGAAAGTTGATGATTGGCGTTCTCCTTTGTTCTGGCGTTTTTATCATGGTCGCAACACTCTTGAGATGTGTGTTTTCGCTACAGTTAGTCCCCCAAATGGCATGGTTCTTGGTATCTTGCTAACAACCCAGGGACATCCAAGGCATCAACACATCGACCATCTGGGCAATCCGCGAAACCTTCGTAGCAATAATTGCTGTCAACGCAGCTGCTATAAAGCCTCTTTTCTCAGCATCTCGATGGCTCGTGTCGAGCAAGGGAAGCAGTCGGGACAAGGGAACGAGCAGTTACATCAACAAACACGGCCACCCTCTGGGAACAATCGGCGGGTCAGGTATCTCTGGCGGCATTTCTGCGAACCGACATCAAAAATACATGACACAACTCGACGACAACTCGAGCGAGGAACATATTGTTGGGAAGCCAGAGTTTATCGGATACAGCAAGCCTGAGGTTCGGGCTGGCAGCACAACAAGTGGACAGAGTGATAACCAGGATGGTATTATGGTTACTAGAACCTACGAAGTCACTCCTGGAAAGTCTACGCTGGATGTTTAGGGAATTTGATTATGGAGTTACAGGGAAAAGGCAATACCTATGAAGGAGGTGTTGGAATCACATGTGATTAATGTAATAGACCAAGATATGTATCAACTCACGCGCTGGATAATCTGTTTGAACACACAAAAACCTAGAGGTTCACCTTTATCGCTTTACAATCTTCAAATTACGGTATAAAGCTTTGCCTGCCGCGAGATTGCTCATGTCTTCAGTTCAGGTACTAAAGCCAATGGCTAAGCTAGCGGGCAGCAGTAAGCTATTCCAACAACGTCAGGTCCAGAAATTGGCCGTGCTGAATCAATCTGAATCTACAGGTGGCGTTGCTCTGTCTCGGTAGCTGGACTACCGGGTCACTAACGAATTAGCGCTGCCTAAGCACGGTCTTTGAGGTTGTATTAGTCGTATTCTAAACCGTCTAATTACCGCCTACAACGTAAATGAAACAACCCCTGATTGACATTAAGGCCCGTTTGCCGCGTTACGCCCGGTTCGAAGATCACTCTTGACACATGATTGAGTTCAGTGGCATCCGGTTTCCGAGGCAAAGGCACGTTACCAGGCCGAATCCTACTGCAGGGGTTCATATACCCTCCCCCTGCCAGGACAAGTAACCCCTGAGAATTGTATACCTTGTAACATGGACATTGACAGATTTGGTTTTCCTTTTGTCCGAGGGGCTGGGATACGCCAAGCAATAGGAGATCTGATCGCAGAAGCAATAACCAACACATGCAGAAAGACATCAATTGTTGAGGCGGCATTAAAGTGTTGGCAGATGTTATCAATCGGGATTCGATAATTTGACAGTTCCAAATCTGGTATACAGTTCATGGGCCCTCAACCTCTTTCGAAGAGTAGGGCGTAAGTCGGTTGGGATTCTACCAGTCATGTCCAAGAACAGATGCCACTGCTAAGGTACTAGTTGCAAATCATGGCTCTTGGCAGCTTAAGTCTGTGGTTTCGTGGATCTTGGTGGACTTTGGTCACCAGGTAGTTCATAGACTAGATTCTCAAGGTTTGGGAGCATAAAGTTAGGGCTAGCTCTGGCAAACTTCATGATGTTTCTCATATCTGACTCAAGAGCCAAAACACAAGTTGTAGGTTCCATATTTAGGTGTATCGTATTAATCATCTCTTTTTATGTTACTTTATTTGTCAGATTTTGATGGTTAGATACAGGCTACTGGCAATAACGAGACTGTTGAACATTTCTCAAAGCTATTGAAATTATATGAATGTGATAAGAGACACTCTCCTGTCTTCAAGCGAGGCTAAACCAGAGGTTGCATGGCCCTCATGGCGGTCCGAACAGCAGCCTTCTAAATGGCTTCACTAACACTAGTCTCGGCCTCACCTTCAGACTACCATTTAGTTATGTTTCAGACGCTCTCGTCGAAGAGACCTTGAAGCTAAATGTTCAAAAAATTAGCCAAAAAAATGCTCTATTTACCCAAACGCCATATTATGCCTTCGTCACACTAGCTCAGCCCCAGACATCCTCAAGCCACTTGTTTCCCTTCTTTGCCGCTTCAGCCCAGCTCCTAGCTTCAGCATCAGTCCAGTTATTCTGCATCTTCATTGACTCTTCCACTACATTGCCAGCCTCTCTTGCCATTGATGCTCGACCGCAGAAGTAGATGCTCGCACCATCTCGAAGAAGATCACATACATCTTTTTTCCTCTCCTCAACTGTGTCTTGAACATACTTCTTTGGCTGCCCATCTGCACGGGAGAACGCAGTAACAATTTCAAGACTGCCTTGAAGTTCTTTCGCAACCTCGGTGAGTTCATCCCGATAGAGGTAGTCTTGATCAGGGGCGCGGCATCCGAAAAATAAAATCATCTTGCCAATGGGCTTTCCAACGGCTTTGAGACGAGCTCGCTCAAGAATAAATCCGCGGAAGGGAGCGAGACCGGTGCCAGCGCCGATCATGATGAGAGGCGTTGAGCTCATTGTTGGAAGTTTGAAGTTTGATCGTCGCAGACAGGCAAAGATCTTGTGGTCTTTTAGAGCATCACCAGGACCAGACAAGGCGTATGTCGGAGCGTCAGGTCCAATTTCAGGTTGCTCATTATCGCCGTTGATAGATTTCCCAAGAGCGTAGAGGTAATTAGTCGTGATACCTCGGATGGACCTACTTGGATCTTGTTGAAGAGGCGAGTTATCAACACCACACGTGATCGAGAGTTTGCGTGCAGAGACAGTGCTCGATGACGAGATGGAGTAATAGCGCGGCTGTAAGGCCGGTAAAGTCTCAACAACGTAAGATAGTGGAAGTTTGTCCCAAACAGACCCAGGAGCAACAAGTCTCAGAAGGCGACCGAGAGTAATATGGTCCCTGGCGATATATTCCGCATACGACTCTTTACTCTTGCCTAGAGTTGTCAAGTTCTGAGCAATCTCTGCTGAAGGTGCAAATCGTGCCAGTTGGCCAACAGTTTCTCGAGATACAGGAGCTGAGATCTCGAGGTAATGTCGGAAAAGGGCCAGTGCAGATGTCGGACTGGGAATCTTGATTGTTACACCTTCTTCAAGGGGCTGAACAAGAAGAGGCTTCTCAGCTCGTTCCTCGAGATCAAGAGCCTTGAGAAGAAGTTGTACCTCGTGATCAGGATTGATAGGATAGACGGCAAGATGGTCGCCAGTCCGGTATCGAAGTTCAGGATGATCTGAAATATCGAGCTCCATATGCAGGCAATTCCGCCCGGGCGATGTATAGAGCTCGTGTGATGACTGAACCGTCAAAGGTCGGATAGGCGAGTACTGCTTGACAATCTTTGCAGGTCCGCTTCGGTTCTGAATAGGCTCGCCGAGGTTGAGATCCATGATATCGAGAGACTCGTCCTCTACAAGCTGAATGCTTGGCTCATATGGTATATCTCGCTCTTCATAGCCCAACTTGGTCTGAAAGTGAGTATACAGATCGTCCTTCCAGGAGAGAAAGTCCTCTTCTGTGCCACCCTGAGCATCATTGGCCTTAGCCACAGGCATCAACCTCTGTGCACCAGCCTTGTCAAGGGAATCAGCAACAACATCGATAACACGGTTATAGTATCGGTAACTGGTATTGCCCAGACCGAAGGCCATGTACCGCAGGTTTGGTAGCTGAACATCGGAATTCTTGTGGAGCCACTCCCAGAATGCAGCTGTGTTATCACTGGGATCGCCTTCTCCGTATGTTGAGATTATGAAAATGGCGAGTTTGCTTTGGGGAAGGTTGGCGATAGACTCAGGGTCGTAGTCGCACAGGTCAGCGCAGAGGGTTTGTAGACCGAAGCGCAAATGGCACTCTTTTGAGAGTCTGTTGGCAAACATCTCTGCTGTGCCCGACTGTGAACCCCAAAATATGACTACGTCTCTGCCCTGATCGATTGTTAGTCTATCATCCCTTTCTGTCACTGCCTGAGAAACTTACAGTCTCCTCCATCTTCTTCGCAATATCACGGGTTGCTTTCGGTCCTGAAGAGGTACCATCTTTTGAACCCATCCGTTCGAACCAAATATGATGATAAGGATCTGGCTTATCCCAAACGATCCCGCGTAGAAGATATGCCGCCGATGCAATACCAACTGTACCCAGGGCAGCCATATCGGCGATTGTCTGAGGTGGTCCCAGCTGGGAGAGCCGATTAAAGGCTTCTGTAGCAAAGACGCTGGACATGATTGCTAAAGACTATCCTAGAAACGATACAAAAGTTTGCTCGAGTCTTTCTGAAGCGAGGAGAAGAAGGATTGATATCCATATTCATAGCCTGTTGTCTTTGCTTCATCCGCGGAATTTCTTTCTATCCTAGGAAATCAACATACTCTATCTCCCATTCCACTTAGATCAAGAGTCTCTAACGAAACGTGGGGACTAGCGTAGAGGTTATTCAACGACCGCGGGGACTTTTACCCAGAGTTACAGTTCTGGATGGGGAAAATTTCCTATTTGGGCAAAGGAACCACTTCATGGTGACGAGATGTGCGGGGATGAAAACACGGGGAAGGCGAGACGATGAAATCTAGATTTAAGGCGTTACCGGGTTCAGTATATTTCCCCATTTGTCGTCCCCGCACTTACATCCTTTATTGAGATGGTGTTGAGGACAGGGGTGGCTGAATGAGGCCAGAAGAGTTCTCATGCTTCTAGAGCAATTGTCTCCAAGTTTCCTTTCTCAGAGTATTTCTTTCTTGTATCAATTATGGCAAGTCAACTTTGACGTCGTAAGAATGGCTTTGTGGTGATGAACATAGATAGATAGAATAGACTATTCCAATACAATATAACTCGTCTCCTCTGAACTCATCATCTCTATCAAAGGCTCAACTTCACAATCTCTCACCATGTACGCACAACTTGTGTCTGTCTTTACAGCGCTCTCCCTCCTCACGTACTGCATCCTCTACCCCATCTTCACATATCTTCGCGATGCCAAAGGCCTCCGACGCTACCCCAACTTCCACCCCCTGGCGGGAATAACAAATATCCCCTTTGTCCGTGAAGCAGCCAAGGGTTTCCGCTCTCGTACTCTGTATGAGATGCACAAGACCCATCCTGTGATTCGCACTGGTCCCAACTCTCTCTCCTATGGTTCCATCCAAGCCATCAAAGATATCTACGGCCACGGCACAAAATGCACTAAGGGAGAGTTCTACGAGACTCTTGCTGGCACCCACTATCACTTAGCCGATGTCATCGATAAGGCCGACCATGCTCGAAAGCGCCGTGCTCTTTCTGCTGCATATGCGTTGAAGAATCTTGAGAACTGGGAGTTTAAAGTGGCCGATAAGGCAGGGCGTTTCATCCGCGCTGCCGACGCTGCTTGTACTCTTCCACTCAAACAAGGCTTTACACGCCCTGACCCTAGAGATCTCAAGTTCGATTACCGCGCCTTCACCAACTTCTTTACCCTCGATGCCATAGCAGACATTGGTCTCAGCGAACGTCTCGGTTTTCTTGACCAAGGCCATGATCGCGTGAAAGCCGAGCGTATGGATGGAACTATCCACGAAGTCAACTTCCGAGAGTGTCTTCACTCCACAGCCCGTGCTCAGTCTATTCTTGCCTGGACAGAGAAGTGGTATAGCTTCAATGTTGAAGTATCAAAGTGGTTCTCAAAAGATTTCCGCCAGTGGTGGCATCTCAACGAAGGCTGGAACGATATTGTGTATCATCGCGCAACACAGCGTCTTGAGCGGCATAAGAATGGCGAGAGATTGCCTGATTTCTTCCAAGCTCTTATGGACCACAGCGAAGCTAACCCTCCTGGTCTTGAGTGGGGAGAGATTGTCGCTGAAGTTTCTATCATGATGAATGCTGGTTCTGATACCACTGCTATCGCGATGAACAACGTTATGTATTGGCTTCTGAAGAACCCGTCTTGTATGTCGAAGCTTCGAGAAGAAGTTGACTCTGTTCTTGATCCTGAAGAAATCGTTGCGCCTTATGATAAAGTCAAGCATCTTCCCTACCTTCGAGCCTGCTTAGACGAATCTCTTCGCATCACACCGCCAACGACTTTTGGTCTTCCTCGCCGCACACCCCCTGAAGGTTGGAATATTCTCGGTGATTACATCCCTGGTGACACTACGGTTTCTATTTCGGCGTACGTCACGCATAGAGACCCTCAAGTCTTCCCCGATCCTGAGTCATATGCTCCGGAACGATGGCTCGGAGAGAAGGGCAAGGACCTGCAGCTATATTTCATCGCCTTCAGTGCCGGAGCCCGCGGCTGCATCGGCCGAAATATCAGTTATCTTGAGCAAACTGTGCTATTGGCTAGTGTTGTGCATAGATACGAGTGGGCGTTGCCGTATCCAGAGTGGGAACCAGAACGCAGAGAGGCGATGAACCTTGCTCCTGGTCCTATGCCCCTCAAGGTTTGGCGTCGAGATTTGGGTGTGGGAGATGTTGACGGAAATGACAGTTAGAATAAACATATGACTAGTTTTTAGTTAGTTCATAGAGTAATCTAGTTGAGTTTGAGATCATTTGTTCAACCTCTCCGGAGGGGAAGTCTCCGTGTTGGTGTGAAGTCCGCATATGTGCTACCCTGAGATACAAGCACTTGTTGACTCAGATTAGCCTGATGTCAATATAAAAATACTATGTTAGTATCTTAGGGAATATTATCCTAAGGTTGTCTAAATTATGTATAAAACCTATCCTGACTTATGATAATTTAGGCAATTTTAGGATAATATTCCCTAAAAATACCCTAAAACTCGGCCAGCTTTATTAGACATTTGTAGAGTGGTCAATTAGAAAGTATTCTTTTATTATTTTTATCTCATTTCTCTCGATATAATGTAAGCAGACACGACAATGCGGCTGTTCTCGTGCTGGCGAGAAATCCGACAACTCCACAACATCAACCGGATACCAGGCCGACACCATAATGCAGCTTCATGATTGATAGGAAGGCAAACCGAGGTAAAAGATTTTAGGTGATTAGGTAGGGAAAAGTGGCAGAACGGTCAACTCGCGTTGCTTGCTATGATCACGATATTTGGAAGGTTCAAGAAGTTATCCATTATAAATAATCATTACACTAACTGCAAGTTGCTATTTAACATCCCCGAGATGGGCATTCCAGAATTCGCGTTCTCGGGAGATTCAGTCCAACCCCAAGCTTCCTTTAAATACTCTTGACTGCAATGGTTGTCAGACTAGCAACTAAGGGAATCTGGGTTTGACCTACACTGATCGATTCGGCCACCCAAATTGTACATCTGCTTTTTGTAGCATGCCATATAGGGCTTCCTGTTCGAACATGTTATTGAATCGGTCACCAGCCATCGTGATAGCCAAGCAAGCATATCTGTAGGAACATAATCAGCGAGATGCTATCTCAAGGAGAAGCGTAGGTTGGTCATACGCATAGCCCGTTGGATTGCGTTGGTTAGACTATTTCACACATTAGTGGAGATCCTTACTATCAACCACATACTCTCACCTCAGCAACACCGCAGACCATCTTGACCGTCCTTCTAATCTCCTCATTTATTGACTTGGCCGCTTTCGCCTGCCCAGGACCCAATTTCGGTGTCCTAGGGTTGTGAGCTGCTAGCAAAACCTGAATCAGCAGGTAATGGAGCACCCCTGTAACAACAGCGTCGTTAAGATACAACGCTTGTGGGAAGATGCCAGGTGCATCAATGTTGATGTACATCGGATGAAAGTGCCATGGCCTGTCCGCCCACCATCGCTCTTGAGCCTCTTGCAATCTCTCCCATGCTGAGAAGCTCTGATCTTCGGATCCATAACAATAACGTAGACAAGCAGCACATTGCAAGATAGTCAGATTTGCAAAGGTGCAACATGTATCATCATTTTGGACAAGCCGAGAAATGTCTTCCAAAACGAAGTTTGGATGGACGGGCCGGGCCTGCATAAAAGCCATGTGTATCTCTTGGTATAGTTATCAGTATAAATCACGTCCAAACCGGAGATGCCTCCTTACCTTGCCGTAGTGCAACCCAGAATGCCGCACGTCTTAGTCCAGTAAAGTCCAAAACTTTCTCTTGAGCTGCTACGAAGACTCGAGTGCCAACAAGATGCGATTCGCTGGCCGTGTCTGCGGATGTGAGGGGCACGTCGAGTTCCTCCATATAGCGAAGAATTACAATGGCAGTCAGGAGGTTTTCGTCCATAACAGCTGCAGAACTGCTCAAGGCAGGGATAAGAGCATCGAGACAGTTCTGGTGATAACGGTCGCCGACTAATCCATCAAACCCATCGATTCTGCTTAATCGTTTGGCAGAAGCCGCAAGTACTGCGTTCATAAGTGGAGGACATATGACTGCTCGACGGGGGACAATCGTAGCGAAATGCCGCTCAGTATCACACAAATCGAAGAGCGGTGCCAAGACGTGAATGAAGTTATAAAATAACATCGCCTCTTGTGGATCTTCTAGGGGCCATCTCGGCGTATCTAAGTAAATACCTGAGATGGCTTCGGCGACATTATCCACTGGAATTGGAAGGTCTGTTCCACGAGAGCTCGCGAGCGCCGCGGCAACTTGAGGGCTCCCAACACCCAACACAATATCGCTACTAAGGATCGGAGATTCGATATTGTGAGGTCCCGAAAACGATGCGAAAGGTCCTACAGTATCAGACTTCTGACTGGGTGAGATAGCATCGCTAGGGTCCGAGCGAGAGGTGCTCTTCCATATCCCAGTTGAAGATGGACTTAATGCTCGTTTCTTTGAAGGGCGCTCCTGATCTATGGTGGAAGAAGAGATACCAAAGATTGAAGTTGAGTTGGATCTGTCCTGATCGGAATAAGATGTTGAATCATTTGATCGAATTGTCTGTAGAGAAGCAAGGGTTGGTGAAGACTGATTGCTGGCGTTGTCGATGTCAGGTCCAATGTTGAAGTTTTCCAAGGTGTCCAGGTTGTTCGAATCATGGATGTTGATGATGTCTGGAGTCTCATCAACAAAACTTAGAGCTCTGGTTGTCTTGACCCATGGTTGATCTTGAGAGAAATTATAGTCTCTATTCTTGGCTTCAACGGCCTTACCAGATCGTATACTTCGAGTGGTAAGTAACAGCAGTCAAGGGCAGAAAGGACAAAAAGGATAACACACCTTGGATTCAGACCATGACGGAATCTCACACTGAAACCTCGAACACACTCGATATCGCTCTTTCGACAATTGGCGCAAGAAGGTTTATCGTTGTCACCTATTTTCTCGGATTAGTTTCCAGTATCAGAAAAGAAAGGCGCAATACAAGCCACCACCGCTGGTAAAGTTAATGTGGCTTACACTTGAGATGTCTATCAGAAGTTGATAGTTAGGATATATTGCTCCAAAGGACACAACGGAGCAATCGAAAACGGGTAATATTTCCTTTGTTAATGAGATAGAGACTCACCTTTGCTTACAGACCTTGAAAATAGTAACTGTCAGTTTACAGCCTCTAGGGGCTATCCTAGCGGGGCGACTTACCGTACAGGGGTTGAGAGGCCTTGTCTTAGTCGTCGCTGGCAGAGGCTCTTGCATGATTCATAAAGCAACTGTTGCCAGGGGACAGTGGGTATGAGTAACGACAAGACGGGCCGTTCCAACCAAACTTTTGATGATGATGAGGAGAATTGAAGGATGGATCAGACAAGGAATATGACCCAGAGTTGTTGAAAAGGGCAGTTGCCTTTCTTGGTCAAAAGGGCAAGTCATTCCGCCATGAGTGGGCACTACTCGATAGGCGAATCAGCGGCCAGCTGAATCTAATTAGTCCCGAACTTTAACATGAGACCCCCTGAGGCTCACTGGAGAACAGGCCGCTTTCCCCATGGGGTTGGTGATGGCTTCAGTCGGTAATCTGTCTGGGGGACTGACGCACATCCGGAGTAAACGAGCCTAGGATGGTCTAGATTCCCTGCTCAGCCAATCAATTGAGTCCTCGGCCTTGGAGACTCGAGTCTAAATGCCGCTCGTTAGCGTAATCCGGGGGGCAAGGCGTTGAGACTGTGACCGTGCTAGTCCTTCCACGTTTTTCTGAAAGGGAAATATTCATCCCCTCATTACCATCAGCTACAGATAATCAAGTTTTGGAGTAGCAGGGAGTACCAAGCTCAGAATCCTGGGTTGGGGGTGTGCTTCACCTTGGATGTTTAATATATAAGACCTTCGAACATCAGTTGAATCGCTTCTTTCCAAATCAGCATCGAACTCCATTTTCTCATTCTTCAAATCTCTCCGGATATCTTCAAAGAGACTCCAACAAGTCTTTGGACCTCTTTTAGTTTCTTCGGTACCCTCCATAGAGATCTTGAAGTTTCTTCAAAACTCCTGAACCTCTTCCGACAGACCGTGTTGAGCAACCCCAATATCATTTTCACACCCTCCTCACATCACCCACCGGCACCATGTCCAAGACCGATACCAAGGAACGTCTCGAGCATCTCGAGGATACAGGTTCTCCAAATTCCATCCACGAGATCAACATTGATGATCTCGACTCCATCGAGCAGACCAAGACCGGCAAGTTTTCCTGGCTTGTCAGCATCACTGCTGCCATCGGCGGCATGCTGTTTGGTTATGACACTGGAATAATATCTGCAGTTCTTGTATGTTATTTCCCTTTTAAACTTTTTTTATTTTTTATTTGCTGCCTCAGGTACTGACGTGGGATATAGGTGTACATTAATCAAGATCTTGGCAAAACTCTTACTTCTCAGGAGAAAGAACTCATTACCTCAATCACCTCCGGTGGTGCTTTTCTGGGTGCCATCTTTGCAGGATGTTCTGCTGATCGTTACGGCCGCAAGATTGCTATATATGTTGGCTGTGTCCTATTCACTGTCGGTGCCATCATCCAGGCAACTTCATTCTCGGTCGCTCAGATGACCGTTGGCCGCCTAGTGGTAGGCTTCGGCGTGGGGTCAGCTGCGATGATCATACCTTTATATATCGCTGAATGTTCACCAGCCAAGTATCGAGGACGTATGATCGGTCTTGATAATATGTCTATCACTGGTGGTCAGCTTGTCTCCTACGGCATTGGAGCCGCGTTCGCACACGTCTCATCTGGCTGGCGATACATGGTAGGCGGTGGAGCCATCCCTGCTATCATACTCGGCGCTCTCCTGCCTTTCTGCCCTGAATCTCCTCGTCAACTTATCTATCACGGAAAGCCTGAAGAAGCAGCCGCAGTCATCAGACGAATCTTTCCCAATGGTACCGAACAACAGGTCCAGGACAAGATCCGCCATATCACATACCACGTCAATGAGGCCAAGTCTCTTAACGCTGGCAAGTCTCAATGGTGGGTGTTCAAGCAGCTCTATGTCAGCCCCGCAAACTTCCGAGCTCTCGTCTCTGCCTGCGGACTCATGGCTATCTCTCAGCTCAGCGGCTTCAATTCTCTGATGTACTACTCGCCTTTACTGTTCTCTCTTGTTGGTTTCTCCAATCCGGTCGCTGTCGGTACCATAATTGCTGCCACCAACTTCATTTTCACCTGGGTGAACCTCATGCTTGTTGACCGTGCTGGTCGCCGAAGGATTTTGATCTGCACAGTTCCTTTCATGGGTCTTGCTCTCATCGTTGCTGCTGTGTGCTTCAAGTACATCCCTATTAACCATGATTTGTCTCTGGCATCAGACGCTAAGATTGGCTGGCCTGCTATTGTGGTCCTTGTCAGCATGGTTATCTTTGTAGGTTTCTACTCTTCTGGTATCGGCAACACTGCTTGGCTTTCAAGCGAGTTCTTCCCTATGGAGGTTCGAGCTATGGGAACTATGATGCTCACCATGACCTGCTGGGGATCCAACATCATTGTGTCTTCGACTTTCCTTACTCAAATGGAGAACACTACCCCTTCTGGTGCTTTCGGTTTCTATGCTGCCATCTGTATTCTCGGCTGGGTTTGCATCTACTTCTGTTACCCTGAAGTCAAGGGCATGACTCTTGAGGATATTCGAGAGATCTTCCAGCACGGCTTCGGTGTTCAGCGAGCACGAGAAATCCAGAAAGAGATGAAACTTCTCAGGAAATCTACTGCCTCTGAGGAGGTGGCCAAGGCTTAGTAAGCGGCTGGGAGGAAATGTGGAAAGGCGTTTGTATTTGAAATCATTTGGTGCTCGAGGGTACACAGAAGTTCTTCAGGGGCGGCTGATTGGGAGGATTCATAGGCGTTTCGACACTAGATAGGACACCTAAATAAGACAATCATATATGTGTCAGTATCCAGCTTCTCCAAATTCCTCCACCTTATGACTTGGCCAATAAATATTCCATACTTTGAAATGACTAACCCGATGAGCCTATTGGTATCCTAAAGAACTTCGTAAGGCCCTAAACGGGTCTTCTATAAGATTTAGGATGTGTTTAGGGAATTTATGATGATATCTAAAGAGTTAGCCTAAGGCTAGACTAAACTTTATACTAAGATACTCTAAAACGCACACAATTGAAGCCTTGCGGAACCCAAAGGTTGGTGCTCATTGCAGACTGTAAGTGAAGGCATGCGAGCAAGACGAATTTCGGGAAAATACCTTCGTTTTATCTACCACGCTTGTTGGTTTTCTTATAAAATAGACAGAGGTACCAAAGATGATATGTGATGTCAGGTATGCTGCGACTCTGACTGTTCAATGGATCATGAACCAGTTGCGAGAAGCAGGTTGAGCAGCAACACGAGAGACTGGAAGAATAATTTAAAGAAATATAAACAGGGCCAGTTATACCCTATGACTTGTAACTACCTGATGAGAAGATCCCACTTGAAAAAAATCATCGTGAGATTCTGGTGGTGTTGTCGTGTCATTCAACCGAATAATTTCAGCGAGTATACATAACGAAATATTTTGCCAACCAATCCAAACCAATCCAAACCAACAAAATAGGAAATTCCCCAGTTGGAAACCACGGCGAGATTTTCCATGACGAGAATCTCCAAGTGATGTTGCCTCCTTCGGCCAATCTTTCCAATCACGTCTTCTGCTTTTGAGTCAAGGAGGGGGTTCGGTGAGTTAAGCCTCACCCGCAATGCGGAGGCGATCCCTGCTATTGCGGGGTCTCCAGGGGTCAAGGTTCCGAATTACAGGTCTACTTACAGTAGGAGGCGCCGATGGAAGCTTCGTAGCTAATTGCTAGATTTGGAAGTCTGGCTTATATTCTCCACTGGTTAACTCATCTTCAACGTGCATCCGTATGTCTAAGGTGAGAAAAGTTGAAGATCTAGCCAATGGTTATAGTACCTTTCTGACTGAAAAGCGGAAGAATGTAGATCTTGTGATTTCTATTCCAAGCCACTGGCAGAAGTCATGTACCCGTGCAACGTGGGTTTGTCCAATTGAGTTGAATGTGGTGGTAGGGTTGAGAAAGGTTCGAGAAAACAACGAGCAATGCCGCCAGAGCTCCGAGTATCGGTATACGGTATAAATATATTTTTTACTCCGATTACCGAGAGAGCTCAAGGTATAAGGAAGGAGAGCTCGCTCATGCTTATCATCCTTCGTTTCAATACTCTTCAGTCTCATTGTTACTAGAAGAACCCAACAGACGCACAGCAATAACCTAATCTTTTCTCTATAACGCCTTTCTTCTTTCCACACAATGGCATCTCCTAAGCTTCAAGTCGCTGTTGCTGGCCTCGGACGCATGGGCGCTCGTCATGCTCTCAACTTTCACAACAGAACACCCCGCGCTGAGCTTGTTGCAGCCTTTACTCCTGTTCAAAAGGAGGCAGACTGGGCCAAGGTTCATCTCGAAGGTGTTACGATCTACAATGACTATCAGGATATGCTGAAGCACCCTGGTCTTCAGGCTGTGGTGGTCGCTACTGTCACTACCGCCCATGCTGAAGAGGCTATTCAAGCCATAGAGGCCGATAAGCATGTTCTTTGCGAGAAGCCCCTAAGTACCAGCGTTGAGATCGTAAGTTTTCCCCCTCACAAACTGGGCTTATTGTGAATTTTAACTAATCTTTCCTCTCCAACAGTCTCAATCTGTCGTCGATGCCGCTGCCAAGAAGCCTCACCTCAAGGTCATGTGTGGTTTCTCCCGTCGATTCGATGCCTCATACCGCGATGCCTTTGATCGCATGGACAGTGGTGCCATCGGCCGTCCGTCCGTTTTCCGATCTCAGACCTGCGACAAACTTGATCCGTCCGGTTTCTTCGTCGCCTATGCCGAGTTCAGTGGTGGTATCTTCGTCGACTGCAACATCCACGATATCGACCTTGCTTTGTGGTACTTTGGCCAAGACTCCATCGTCAAGTCTGTCGTTGCTACTGGTATCACTGCTGTTCAGCCTGAGCTGCGAAAGCATAAGGATGTAGACAATGGTGTTGGTATCGTTGAGTTTTGGGGCGGCAAGGTCGCATACTTCTACTCTTCGCGCATGATGGCTGCTGGTCAGCACGATATGACAGAGGTCATCGGCACTGAAGGCAAACTCGCCATCAATGCCAACCCAGTCGGCAATCTTGTTGAGATGCACGAGGCAACCGGTGTACGCCGACAGATTCCTGGAGACTACTACGGTCGCTTCGAGCACGCATTTGTCACAGAAGCAAACGAGTTCACTGCTGCTGTTCTTGACAACAACAAGTTGCCATTCAAGCTTACTGGTGCTGTACAGGCCGTCAAAATTGGTTGCGCACTCCAGGAGTCACTCAACTCGGGCAAGAAGATCAACTTTGATGAGACTGGCCGTCGTATCGAGGCTTCTAAGCTATAAAAAGTTTTATAATTGTTGAGCGTGTCGATATTTAGATGAGTTTATAGAGTAATTGACTTTGTTTGTGTGAATGAAAGTCCTAATATTTTATCTTAACCTCAAATGGAGACAAGTTGTATCCAAGGTTGAAACAAACCATCCCATGTCTGATCGTATAACCCAGTTATAATGGAATCGAAGTCCCAAAAATTGCGTTGCCCTCGTTCCTAGTCTCCTGTACTGCCGAACGACACGAAACAACTTTTCGGTATGATACATACCGAGACACCCAAAGGCATCCACTAGTTGTACAAGCCGCATAGGTGAGCTGGAAGATCTTCTGCACTTTGATTCTAGAAACATGCCCTCTTTGGGGATAAAGCTATGGTACATGGATCATCGGCACTATAGTTCATGTGGTACTCATCGTTCTATGCCTACATGACCATTGCCATCGACTGGCAAAGTTATTCATCGACAATGCTTTTTGCTGCAACATATTTGCCCGAACGCAATGAGTTTACAGGGTATGTGAGTTGATGAGTAAAAATCCGACGCTTTATGTAACGGTCTAAGGCCGAGGTAAAGGCAGTCCAATTACTTAGAATGGCAAACAAACTTTCGTGCTCGTCCATAGAGAGGCACAAAGGTTCAGGTATCAACTTGCAATTTTAACCACACCAACTTATGTACATAGGGTCACATAAAAATGTACGAATGATGTTCAAGATCTAATATGACTTATTCATCATAATACAGTCATACAGTATATCTCTATCGCTTTCTCTCGGGCCAAGCATCCGCAAGACCTTCATAAATCGTCACATTGCTAAAAGACACTTCACCGCTTCCCTGATGGAAGAAGCGAATATCGGTCGAATCGGCATACCAAGAACTAAAATGTTAGCAAAAATCACAACATCAGGAGATGTTCCAACTTACCGAGCCCAGGTGGCTACTCCAAATCGATCGTTGGCATGAACCTCAACGATGGCATTATCCACGACGATAGTAAGGTCAAGAGTCTCAATTTTCTCCTCATCATCAACGAGAACGTCAAAAAGACGAAGTCGACCAGCTTCAGGACGAGCGTCAATGTCGCTAGTCGTAAGGGCTGCAGCACTAGTGTTGCTGCGATCGATGATGATGGATTCATTGGAGAACTGGTAGTAAATAGTGGTGGACTCCTTATCAGAAGCCAAAATCTGGAAACCAGCCTTGAGATCCGAGTCGCGAGCAGACTTGGGGAATGAGATAGAGCTCTTAAGGACGTAAAACTTGGACTCCGGGTTACGATCGAAAGTAGTTGATCCAGCCTTGCTGATGTTTCGGCCCGGTTCGACGAAAGGCTTCTTCTTGGTAAACGCAGCCATGGGTTCCCGAGCAATAACCTGCTTCAGAGTAGCCAGTTCCAAAACACCTGACTCATTTCTCTCCACACGCCAGGACCCTTCTTCACGTGAAAGCTCATTATCGACAACATTGCTGATCTTGCCGACGGTGAGCTCTCTTGGGAGAAGAAGAGATCCAGTCCAGTTTTGTTGGGGAGTAGGGAAGTACTTGAGATCGCCGTAGTAATCTCCAGTAAGCCAGAGGTAGCTGATGAATCGATCTGGTGCACCGCTCTTGGACGATGCCTTCGAATCTGAAGGGAGGTATTTGCCAGCTGCGGCGTAAGCGGATCGTCCCCAGTCAAGCTTGCCAACCATCGAGGGAGTAAATCTCGGCTTTTCGTTGTCGAGGGATATGTTTCCTGCAGCCCACAGCATGTCACGGAAAGACGAAACCTGAGGAACAATAGGCTTCTCTTGCCACTCTGCACCAAAGGTGATGAATGTCTCACCCTTAGAGTTATACCCCTTTTCATCAATACTGAAGACATTGGCCACTTCAAAGTTGAAACCGTAACGTCCTGCCCAGAGACCATCGCCCCATGTGGTGTTGGCCTTCTCGTGCCACCACTCGCCGAGATACTCCCAGTACTGAAACTCCGGGTCGTGCTGACGATAGAGGAACATACTGGGGCCCTTTTGATGGACGCCGCCAGAAATGACGCTGTACCATGTTCCTGACTCGCTTTCCAGAAGGCTGTCAAGATCCTCGTTCTGGAAAACAAAGGGATCACGGAAAGCCGTCACGTTGAGAGTAAAAGGAGGTGCTGGGATCGCAGGGCCTTGTCGTAGCTTTGTGAAGTTACGGCCTCCGTCCTTTGACACAGCGAGGGACTGTGTCTCACTTCCGCGAGTGTAGTTGATTGTCCAATGGATGGGGAGGTAAGATACCGAGGTGTAGAAGAGTGTAGGTGTGCCATTGATGCCGTTAGGTATAACAGATCCGTCGAAGACTGCTACAGGATCATTTAGACCTCCAGCCCGAATAAAGGGAGCTCCTCCAGGGTTGAGATCTCGATATGTCACCAGATCATCCGTTGTAGCACCAGCAGCACCCTCATGGAGATATCCAACGTGGAATAGTCCAGTCTTGGGGTCAGTGTAATGCATGCAAGGGTCTCCAATCTGTCCAGTAGGTGGAAGTACATGAGCTCGAGGGCGCCATGTGTTGTAGATCGTCAGATTGGCCAGAGTACTGAGATTTGGAGGAGCGCGGTTATAGTCAAGCTTTGGAGTCGATGGCTTGGCCCAGGCAAGAGAGCCGGCCGTCAAGAAAAGTGAGAATTTCATGATGTACTCTGCAACGGTTACATGGAGACAAAAAAAATCGTGGAGCCACTGAAACTATATATGTTCATCACAACATCCCAGACTAACTTCTGTCGCCCCGACAAACAGTGAGGGGAAGGGTAACATCGTCATGAGAAGCCCAAGAAGCTTCACTTGAATTAAACTCGGCGATACCACGGCGTCAAAGAGCACCTGAGGACTGGACTTTTAGGCCTTGAAAAAATAGGGTGAACCTGGGAATCCGGAGATTTGCGGAGTTTGTGTGGGGAGATCGACAGTCTTTCTTCCTAGAGAACTGTGGTGTTGAGTTTCTAGTGACGTAGGCTCAGTTGAAGAGATGCTTGGCAGATGGCGCTAATGAATTATGTTTTCTTCGCGAAGAGTTTTAGAATCAAGGCTTTGATTGTTTGGTAGAGTTTCTGATGATCAAGAGATGCCAATAGGCTGAATATCTTCAGAGATCTGCTGCAAACTCCATCATGACCATTACATAAGGTGGTTTGGGGAATCAAATCAATCGAATGACATATGGGGTCGAGAGTTTATATGTGGAGCCACTGTCGGACCGAGGGACAGTACTACTTCCCTATATCTCCAAGCATGGACCGTTACAATGGGAACAAGCATGGCAATTAGACTCAAAATCGCCTTGTTTTTACCCAAGTAAATGGCTCGTCTGGAGACTTTTACGTACAGAAGAAGCTGATCCCTTCATATTGGTAGCCGACGATTTACCATAAAAAGAAGCCTTTGAGGTCAATCAATGGACGGAGGATGTACTCCGTAGCCTCCGGGTATCAGGAGCTGCTTTTGTTGCAGACATGATGATATTATACTATATCAGCTGTAAGGCACTTTGTCGAAACTGCTAGTATTTCAAGAAGCCACTATGTAATCACTCAGGTACTTTATTGTCGAAAAGAGTTCATGACCTCAGCATTAACCGCACTTATACATGGTGGGTGTACGTCTGGCACGTCTACTGAATGAAGCAAACGACCAATCTCTCGAAAGTCAATTATGAATCAAATTAAAGGGAGAAGTTGGTCATGCTTATCAATGTCATAAGAGATTGAAGTAAAAGCTTCGCCTTACCAAGCCTTGTTTCAAACTCAAGATCACTGAGGCTCAAGTGACAATTCCTAGACACTGGTTGATAGATAGAGAAGCTGAAAAGAAACCCTTCTTGAGTAAAATTTATGCAAGTAACAACTTAATGAATAGCCTATAAGCTTTCCGATTCGCCCTTCCTCCCATGATCTCGGAACATTAAACAGTTGCATGAACTCTCGCTCGGATCTCGAGTGTTGTTGTCTTGGGACAATACCATTATCCCACTTCTTCACTTTATACACCCGGTACACATGCACCACGGAAAAAATGTAGCATGTGTTTGCGTAATTAGATCATCGCGGTGGTGCTGGATGAGATACATGCAGACTGTCCTATCGATAACTGAAGTCGAAGCATCAGCTTGGGCACTAGGCAATCTCTTGTGGCTGCAATCCAGCGTTTCGACGATGGAAACTTATTCAAAAGTGAATGGAATTGCTTTGTGTATCAATTAACGTTTCGCAACGTTGGATATTGGGTGATGGCCATTCGGCGAAATTAATGATCAGTCTTCAAGCTCGGCCGAATACCTAGCTCTGTGTATATGTGCACTGCATTCAACATCGTAACTTTAGGCCTTGCTTCTCCTAGGTATTTGGAAGGCAATGCGAACCTCTATACGTTTCTTAGCCGCTGCTTGTCAAGGATAGCTACATACTAATAACAATGCCAAGGCTGAGGAGCAAAAGGCTATTGTCAAGTTGCAAGACAGAGTCGCACAGCAACATAGCGGTCTAAAACGGCGAGGTGCAGTGCTGTACGGCATGCAAGGAGGCAAAGAGGGAAGAAGATGGTTTGATGGGAGGTCACGTTGTAGCATTTGACATGCCATCTACGTCAGTTATTTGACCGGTGAAAGAAGAACAAGCTCATTGTGGGGTCTGTCCTTGAAGTTCCACGAGAGTGGTTGGTTGAAACGAGTTTGGGGGCCCAGCATGATAGGCGCGGCCAGTACCCGATACCCGGATCAGGAGAAGCTCGTCACACAAGCTGATTCAAGGTTTGTCTGTCTGTCAAGGATAGAGTTGTGCGGTAGTTAGGCAGTCTACGTAGTTTCACCACGATTCCCCGGTTCTGCATGACTGATCCATAAGGCTTTGAGAGATCGCAAAGCCGAATTGAAGACACTGCATCACGGCAAAGCTTTTGACCGGTCCATCATGCTGGATCTATACTCAATTTAGTAACAGGCGAGACACCGGTCAGTGCCCAAGCTGACCACAGTTCCTCCTATTGTGAACTGAAGCGTGGGATGAGGGTATGTTGACGTGGGGTTGGACCACCAGTCGAGCTGGTGCAGGTAGTACACTAAAACCGGCACGGCTCGTTCGTTCGCTTTGACTGGTATTCAACATGCAAGGCTCCGTAACTGCTTTGGCTTTGTTGTCGCGTCAATGTGGAAACAAAGCGAGAAAACTATGTTGTCCCAAGGTGTATAGCAAATGCTCAGACAATCGGGCTTGTGCCTTTGCTGCATCACTGAATCGCCCAAATCCTTACAGCTCCTATCGATGTTGCCAGGCCTCGAACAGCGATTTGGGACGGAGTCTGTCTGGTCGAGTCAGACACTTGCAGTCAGCATCAGGCAAGCCGCCTGAAGTCGACGATACGGCATAAAAGACACCAATAACGGATTGAAGCGAATGTTAGCAGCTGCTAGTCTGAATAGACTCGGGGAAAAGCTTGAAGTGAAAGGCTAATGGTCTTGTTGTATGCAGGGGTCCGTTATGTCATCAGCTTCAAGCCTGGAATAGGCCAGTTTCCCGAGAAAGGTGGACGTAGCGAGTTCGGCAGTCAAACAGGAGCGCCAAAAGTGCAGTGGCCACTAATAAGTCCTCCGGCACTTTGGGATTAAACAGTTTGGGGCTTCTGCAAGCTGTGTTTAGTCAATTTGAATACATCTTGGCCAAAATGTATGGTCCGTGGCCCATGGAAAGACGCGGTTGACGTGCGCTACCACGGTACTCGCCTCCGCTTTCCAAAGGCGTCAGTCTTATATTGTGAATGTTGGCTGAATAATTGGCTCAGAAGCTTTGAACCAAGTGATGTTTGATGGCACCTGAACAGTGCTGAAGTCGGGAACCACTAAATCAGTGCAAGTGAGGTTTGGTGATCAGGTAATAGAAGATCGTCAAGGGTCCCGATGTCAGTCGCAACACGCGGCTAATCCTTTGTAATGACCATGAGACTACAGCGTACACGAAGATCAATCACCAAACTACTGCATTGTAATGCACATGTCCTGATATTTTGGTACCGGGTTTTGTCCACTTCCCCGTCAACCTTCCGGTGTAGCCAAAGAACTCAAGATCAATGCATAAAGTGCACATTAGTGATGACTGCAGCTGTAGATGCAGTAGCGATGCTTGATCAAATGTTGGTTCATGTATCAAGAGACGCCAACTAGCGATCGGGCTTTTATGAAGGAGATGATATTGATCTTAGCGAGAGTGAAGGATGCTTTGTTGCTTTGTTCGATGGAGGTCTGAACTCCGAGGACACAAGCTAGTGCTGTAGAGCTTGACACTAGGTCACATGTCACCATCTCATCGGGCTTGCTTTAGTGCTTTAGGGGCTTAGTCTAAGGCACGAGCACCCTTGATAGCGGATGGTCAGTGGGGATAACTCGAGGTCCCCCCACACGCTCTAGATCCGGGCTCCTTCAAGGAGCCCTGGGGGTGCTTGCTCGATAAATGCTGGTGAAAGCTGGGATCATGGCAGGCTAGGTAGGCTATGACGGTGATCTTTGCAACTCCACAGCACATCCATCTGTGAAAAAAGAAACGAGGAGGACGACGTCAAATTTCACGGAACTGTCAGAGACAAACGAGATGAGACATAAAAGGAGGAGAGCACAAGAGGCCAAAGGTCAAGCCATGGATGCCACGTACGAGTCCTTCTTTGTCCTTTCCACAGCCTGTTCCGAGTCTTTTCTTTGTCCTTTGCCTGTCATATTGATACAGATCTCGTGAGAGACTTCTCATCAACAAATTTAATCCTTGACTATCTCGGCTTCTAGCCAACAAGGCCTATTGGTCGCCTGTCTTCATCCCCTGAGCTGGACTGGGCTGCCCTGCCTCAGCTGGCCTCTGCCTCTGCCTCAAGATGCTGGCTGAAGCTTTCGCTTGACGTGGCCATGTTAGATGTTATCTCAACCGGATGTAATGCCAACAGGGGTTTGTTTTCTCATCAACTTTGCCCAAATCTCCTCCTCAAACAGACGCCTAACGCTCACGTATGCTTGCTTTCCCGGTCCTGTCGCGTGCCTGCAGACGAAAAACTGCACTTGATGCTCGTGTGCGACATCATCTCAAGCACGACACCTCATCCTGCACATCATCACGACCAGAGTGAGAATCCTCTGCGTCGCACTCAATTGGTAGGCAGTATTCTCTCTTGTCATCTCTTTTCGCGTTCCCAAGGCCAAGCACACGACATAATCTCTTGCTTCGTGGCTATTTCGTCATGGCTGGTCAGCCTCATAGTGGTGTTTCTTTTCTTGTCTCCTCAATCATTATGTACTTAGTATGTATTTCTATTACCCTTGGTGTTGGGCGCCCACTGTCCAGTCAGCTTTGCTTTGCTTGGCTCTACTTCCCTTTGCTTTTTTCTATCTGGTCCAGCGTGCCAGTACCCTTCAGCCTTTCCAAATCAAGCTCTTAGCTTAATTTACCGCAAGGATGCATGCGCGCGTACATATCCGCTGTGATCTTGGTCCCATTTCTTGACTATCCCCTTGCACATTTGCGCCTAGCAGACAGAACAAGCTCCTCGGCCACGAGCCTCTTATCGACGCCCTCAAAAATGATTTAGACCACACGCCCCCTTGGTTTCCTTTCCTTTTGCCTCCATTTCGTTGTCCCCGTATCCTTGGGCGCACATTCTCA